AAAGTCACGATTACGAAATATAAAGTCACAATTACGAGCTATAAAGTCACAATTGTGGGATATAAAGTCACAATTACGAGATATAAAGTCCCGATTACGAAATATAAAGTCACAATTGTGAGCTATAAAGTCACAATTACAAGCTATAAAGTCACAATTACGAGCTATAAAGTCACAATTGTGAGATAGAAAGTCACGATTACGAGATATAAAGTCACGATTACGAAATATAAAGTCACAATTGTGAGATAGAAAGTCACGATTACGAAATATAAAGTCACAATTACGAGCTATAAAGTCACAATTACGAGCTATAAAGTCACAATTACGAGATATAAAGTCACAATTACGAGCTATAAAGTCACAATTACACAATGAACTACAACTTTATTAAAAAAATGGTGAAAAAGCACTGCAGTGGTAGAGATGGTTTTCTGCTCATTTACAAAATAAAAATGGCAAATTGTTTCACTGTAATAATGCATAATCTCTATAGAAATTAATGACACGCTGTACAAATAAACATGACTTAGTGCACATACACAGCATTATACCACCTACCTCCTTTACAATATCGTATGTAGGGCTGCAACTAATAATTGTTTTGATAATCAATTTATCTGTATCTGATTATTTTTTTATTAATTGGATGACAAAAAAATTTTTTTTTAAATATACATTATTTTTTCATTAGAATAATTTTAATCCATTATTTTAAACAATGTAATTTCACATCCTGCCTACGAAAACAAATATAATGAATATAACTATGTAGGTTCTGCTGTACATTATAAGCATTAAAGTGTTAAAATACAAACATTACATTCTAAACCTAAAAACAACAGATTGCTTGCTGTTTTAAAACAGAATTTAAAACAATTTAAACAAAAACACAAAATGTTAACTTGTACGAGGAATCGTTTGTCTGAAAAGTAATTATATTATATTAATGGATAATTCCAACAATAGTGCCTTTACTGTTACTGCTCTCATAAATATGATTACTTGTGTTACATGTAGGGTTTTAAACCTACACTTAATTTTTCTAACAAAAAATATTTTAGCAAAATGTGTATTTTTGTCAGAATTATGAGCGGTCTGTTTGTTTTGATGCACTAATCAAATTCGTTGATGATTATTTATTCATTATCGATTAGTTGTTGCAGGCCTAGTTTTATGCAACCTGTAAACACAAGCCCAACACAGGCAGATGTGTGCAGTCCATATGGTGCATCAAGGTCGCATTAACAACCTTGATTACAATATCAATAAAAGTAAAAAAGGTTTTTATTGGAAAAGTTTTACACAGACTACAAAATACATTCACAAGAAATGAGAAGTACTTTTTAGAATGTTTAAAATGATATCAACTCACATGAGATGAAGATTTCAGTCATTTCAGGCCTAAAGCAAGCTGATTTATTCTACATCGAGTCACCTCATGGGGGCCGATGAAGGCCAGATGAATCTTCCACTCTTTTACTTGGTGAAGGTAATGCCCCTCTTTTCAGAAACTTTTGATGCTGCATATATGGCAGTTGTTAGTATGAAGTCTATCATATAGTCCAGTAGATTACAGTCCACCTTTGGTTTGGTTGTCTTGATCTTCACCCCATATGGTCTCAGGACCGTTTGGTCTTCCAAAAGAGGACACAACTAGAAATCAGTGGTTAAGTTGTATTTACAACACTGTTCCAGAACAGTTCAAACCAAATATTCAGATGTGTGAAGCGCATTTTATGGAGGACGAGGACTGTTTTCAGGGAGAGTAGCCTACAATGCCGGTGTCTGTTTCTATAAAGTGGGGCAGTACCAACTTTGCAAGGACAGTCTGGCGCTTCTGACTCTAGTACGTAAGTACGTAAGACTGTAAGTACGTTTTCATATTTAAAGAATTTGCCACTGATGATTCAAACGTGAGTTTTGGGCAGTGTAGAGAAGCGCTTGTTGTTTGCCATTTCTCCGATCACAAATGCAGACATTTTTTTATGTTTACGCAGCGCGATACACAACGCAACGTGTAAAAAGACAGTACAATCAGTAATTATGTCCCCACTGGATGCAACAAATGACTCGTTTATAATGGGTTTTAGTGGTTTTGTCTTGCCGTGCCGGGACATGGCATCACAGTATGGTAAGGTGCGTAACATTTCCGTCACACGCTTGAGGTATTCTGCCAATCACAACGCACTGGATAGCTGGCCAATCACAGCACACCTCGCTTTTCAGACCGATGAGCTTTGTAAAAATCGACCCGTTTCAGAAAGTCGGGGCATAGAGGAGAAACAATAATGTACAGTATGTGGAAAATGTGTTTTTTGAACCATAAACACATTCATTGCATTACACCAAATACACAAGATAATGTTCTTTTTAGCAACATCATATGACCCCTTTAAAAAAAGGTGCCAGGAAGAACCAAAAGGGGGGTTTCACGGCAATGCTATAGATGAACCTTTTTTGGCAGGTTAATGTCAGTACCCCCATCATCCACTACTATGCCCTTTTCATCCCGTGGAAACTGCCACTGGTGGTTCAAAGAGTTCCCGCTTTCACAGTCCTTCTGATGAATGGTTGAGGCTGGGTACATAGGATCCTGTAAAAAAATAAGAATAAAAACACTTTCATTAGTTTCTTAATTTTAAAATTAAGAATTTTAATTCTGCAAAAAAAAAAAAAAAAAGTCAGGAATTAAGAATTAGGTGTGAAACCATCAGGAACCCTTTTAGTCTCCAGCGCCACCATATTCCAGAATGGCAACCTACTTCTGGAGACTCCAGAAGTGCAAGGTGTCAGGTTCTTAGAGACTTTGCTAAGACATCCTGAAATATGACCCCTCACTTAATAAGAATCATAGGCTTTTTTTTTTAAATTAATGGACAGATTGAGACTCTTGAAGGAATCCTTAGTTAAAGTCCCCGTTAAATCAAAATTAAGTTTTTTGGGTGTTAGTATCAATACGTTAGTCTTAAGGTTATCTATAAGGCAGTGTGCTCCAAAACAGTGACAGAATTCGGATTTAGAAGATATCCACCTTTTTCTTGTCGTAAAAATGGGCGCGGCCATTTGGAAAATATATGGGTATGGCTTCCGGTTTCATCTGCGTCCACTCCGTCCAGCTATTTTTAGCTGAACAAAACAGTTCGTTTTGCTGCTTGATATTGAAAGTTGGTGTGTCTTATCATATTATTTTAATGTATTATCTGAAATTTGACGCCTCCTCTCGCGTGGCCTCATGGGATAGTAAAGTGTCCATCCTATGCATGCTACGGAATTCGGGCGGAAGTAGTAGGTCATCCGGGTACTTCTCGCCTACTGTTTTTCGAATACTATGAATTCGGACATACTACTCGCCTCGCATACTGTTTTTCGCCTGCTATATAGTATGGAAGTATGCGATTTCGGACGCAGCGGTGGATAAGCAAAGCTTGCACTTCGTCACTTCCGCCAAATTGAATCAACGTTTTTTTTGACGTCACCTCGTACTTCATCTTCTCATCAAATCTTTTGACCAATAAACGCTCTCTAGAATCCGAAGCTCCCGCCCCCTGCACTATAAATACACGCTGAAGCTGCGGCTGAGATCGGTCACTTGTTCAGTGTACGGCGAATGGCACGTGGTGCACAACGTAGGCAATAGGGAAGGATTCAGACAGTGTAAATATGCTTTCGATTGGGGCAAATGAGGTCTGGTTTCACGTTGCGTCACGCAAACCGCTTGTTAGTAGTTCATTTCCTGTTCATTTTAAAACATGAACGTAACATGCATCTGATATTACGGCTGTATTTTCATAAAAGCTGAGTTTTATATTGTTATTTGGTGTAATAACTGACAACACATTTGCCAAATTTGATTGTTTCATTTTCAGAAATCATGAGATTAATCATGATTATTTTATTGAGCCCTAATTTTTAAGAGTAAGAAATAACTAAATCTGTAATACTGTAGAAAAACCATGGGTTATTTTGTAATGGTTCTGCAAATGCTGTGGTAAACTATAGTTCAATTTGCAATTACTATGCTTTTCTACAAAAACCATAGATAAATAATGGTTACTGCAGTTAACCCATGGTTTATTATGTAGTTACTATGGTTTTACTACAAAAACCATAGTTACTACAAAAAAAAACCATGGTTAATTTTTGTAAGGGGTGAAATGCTCCTTATGTGGGTGGATTAATCTATGTAGCAACAAGACAACATGTGGTTTATGACTGGAGATGGAAACCAGTGATCAAAAACACAGAGAATAATGATCAAAATAAAACCTTTTAACAGGTGGTTTGGTACATTTCACTAATACAACAAATGAAGGCCATCTTGTTACTTGTAATTGCATCAAGACAACAACCGGGGGGGAAAAAATCATCAAAATGACCTAAGATCATTTTTGTGCTTTCAAAATAATAACAACAACAACATTTCATCTACTGTATGAAGCATAAAAAATACACAAACACCATTTTCAAGTATACAAACATGAAATATCAAATAAAATACTAAAGTACAGCAGACAACATCAGAACAAACCTGACTTAAAGAGAAGCAAAAAACATTTTTTTTTCACTCATGTGAAATCAGGCAGTTTGTAATGCTACGGTATGTAAAGGTGATTTTCGGTAGCTCAAACAAAGACCACTGGGTCAGTTGTGTATCCATGTACAGGCCGGTACAACATTCTGAAGGAAACTAAACCAGAGAGGGAAAAAACATGTGTGCACAAAAGCATAATGGCATTACCACTGTAAGATATCGGGGTCTCTGTGCTTTTACTCGGAGCGATTGTTTCTGTTCTGCTCAACAGCTTTTCTACTACCAAAAAGCCATAGTGTTATTGCAAAGGAAAATTTTTTATATTTGATTAAAATGTCTTGAGTGTAATCTAAAAAAAAAAAAAAAATGCTAACCTTCATTCCTTCGCTCAGTGTAGCTACAGCAAACCTTCACAAAAGCCATATCAGCGTTTACACACACCACAACCAATCAAAACATGAGGCCTGCAGTGTCCTCACTCCTCATCCTATATGACTCAAAGAGCCAAATACATGCAAGATGAAGCAGATATGGATGGTCAAACCAACCTTTGTGAGTTCATTCGGCTCTTCATCTAGTATTGATTTTTTATTTTATTTCAAGCAAATGACCAACAGTGACATTATTCAGACTCTACAGGCATTTGACCAATGGGCTCACATAACAAACGGTCCCTAAAAACCTCCATTCCTACAAAATAAAAATAAGTTAAATGTTTTTCAGATGAAGAAAATTCATATTGTTCTTGTCATGACTCTTCGTTTTGCTTATATACAGTAAAGTGAGACAGTACAAGGCACACATTAAACGTCTTTGAAATGTTACAGATGCATAAATTAATCCTATCACAACTTCATCTACTGTGCTAAAAATAGGGTGCCTAGTGCGAATGGCTAAAACTTTGTTGCTTCCGTGTTTCAGCAAAAGTATTTCATCTAATGCTGAATCACTAGGACCGGTCGAGTTGGTTTTGAGATTTTCATAAGACTGAGGTCAAATCCATGCAGCTGATGACCCTCATACTTTGCGCCAACAGTCATAAGCAGCCCAGTCCTACTGATCACTGCTGCTCATCAATTCGAACTATTAAGGCTAAATTTGTATTTTCAGTGAAGGAGAATTCTAAATATATAAATACTATGTTCTTAGACACCATGTGCGTTAGATACTGTCAACAAAGCTGCCAGGAAACATCCCGGTTCGGCCGTTTCTCTGTAATGTTCCTTTAAACCAGCCGTCCTCTCGTTTTCGGTGCACAAACACAATGTCTCCCTCCTTGAGTTCCAGCTCTGCTTCACTTTGGGGAGGGTAGGACACCACCACACGGTACCTGGAGGAATGGTAAAATGCCATGTTTAGAAGTCAGGCAATGTTTCTTCTCAAGTATGACGTCTGAATGTTGATTTGTGGGTGTTAAGGCCTGTTCACATCAAACACAATAACTATAACGATAAAGAGATAGTTTTAAAAATCATACTAAATTTGATAGAATAGTAGAGTCCACACCACAACTATAATGATAACAGCACAGAAGAACGATATCATTGGAGTCACTTTCAGAACTATTATTTTTTCCCAGCTGATGAACGATAAAAACACTGACAGCCAATCAGAATCCA